GGGGGGGGCCGAGGAGAGCCCGTCCCCACCACCGACGCCAACGCCCTGCACCCCCCAAAAAAGGGCACAAATACACACAGTAAGAAACCAACCGCACAAGAGGATCCCTGGAAGACATTCAGAAAAGAGTGGCCAAACACACCAAATAGATTCATAGACACAGAGGTTTCCAACACAATTGATCAAAACATAATTGGTGACAGAGAGAAAACGAAAGAGGCCTTGAGGGAAGTTGAAGGTTTGGCCTGGGCCATATTCCACTCAGACCCAGGAGCAGTCGACAAAATCACTGTGGACCGCACAAACAATAAATACATCATAGGAGAGAAAAAGGGAACAAAAATGAATTGGTTCAACACAGACCAGGAGATAAATAAAGTCCTTGAAAACTGTTATGATATTAATTCAGCAGTTCAAACCAGGAGGATGATTCACCACTATGGGAAGGAAGGTAATGACGGCCCCACATACATGATGATCGGGAACTGGATTTTCCTGGTCCAAGCCGAAAAGCTGTACGTTTATCCAGTGGGGAAAAAGATGGCCAAAAACGCTGAGGAAACAGTTGTAGACCAAGTTAAAAAGGAAATTGAACGTCAGGGCAGTGTAAACACAGAGCAGTACACCAACATCAGAAGCCTCATCGTAAACGAGAAAAACAATCTTCCATATCTCATGAAGACCATCTTAACCGACCCCAATAAGGAGCTGAGTCTGGGCCTCTGCTGGTACTTCGCTGCCTCGGTCATCTCCGAATCCTCCAGAAACTTCAGGACGTTTCCTGTGACTCTCATGGTTCTGGACATGGCTGAGAACGGGGTTGAAGGAGTTTGGAAATTTCTCTTTGACGACCATCCAATGGCGGCTGGAGGAAGTTGGGTCGATGTGAACCGGAGAGGCTTCAGTGGCACAGCAGCCCCCCCACCCCCCCCACCCCCCCCACCGACTGAACGCAATAAACCTGCAGACGCTGCTGAAGCTGCTAAAGCTGCTGCAGCTGCTGCAACTGCTGCAGCTACAGCAAGAAAAAAGCTCAAAGAGGTGATGGAGAAGGAGTTAAAAATATTACAGAAGTGGAAATCTCATTTCCAGGTTAACACGCAGGCAGAGGTAGAGGCCCGGATGGAAAAGTTCTTAGCAGAATGTCGTATTGACAAGACACAGTTTGAAAAAGATTTCACTGATTACATGAAAAAAACTCAGCAAACCGCTGAAACTCCTCCTGGAAGTCCTGGAGAACCTTCACCATCCAGCAAACAATAAGATGCTGGATTCACAATTCATGTCCATCTTTTCAGATCCTAAGTGGGCTAAAAGAAAAAGGGGGAGCCTGTCCAACAGGGCCTTGTTTTGGGGAATCCATCAGCTCCAGTAGACCATCAAAGAGCTCAGCAACATCTGGAGAAGCTTCTTTGTGGATCAGTCTGCTTCACTCTGATCAGGTTCCAGCTGTCCCACTCTGCTCTCTCCTGTCTTTCCTCCCAATAAAGAATCATTTCAGCAAAGCTTTCATCTGAGTCTCTGAGTCTCTAATCAACAAACAACAACAAACAGTTCCTTCAAAACAGACTGAAAGGTTTCAGATTCGTGTCATGGAGCTTCTGTAAAGACAAACGCTCTCCACCTGCAGGAGGAGAAAAGAGGTTTGAAATCAGCCAAAATGCTCTAAAAGAGACCCAGTGAGACCCAATGAGGCACAAAGATGCCCAATGAGGCCCAATGAGGCCCAATGAGACCTAATGAGACCCAATGAGGCACAATG